TCCCCAGTTGAAATCAAGTCAAGTCAAATTTGTTTCCTCTGTTTACAATCTTTATGCTAAGCTAACCTAACCGCCTCCTAGTTTTAGCTTCCTGTCCACTGGATATAAGAGTGGTATCAATCTTCTCATTTAACTCTTGGCAAAGCAAGCGAATAAGTGTATTTTCCAGAATGTCGAGCTATTCCTTTAATGCTGACTCGGAAACCAGTGATGGCCTAACCACCCTGCTGCTTTTTTTTTTTCGACAATATCTGGCACGCTGTCCCGCGCAGGTCACCACTGGAGCAGTCAGAGCTTGTAAAAAGGAACTGTTTAAACCAAAGACTTTACCTCACTGTGGTGGTTTGGGGGTAAATGATCTGCCACTGCCATGTGTGTGACCAGGAGCTGCATTTGGCCAGCACACTATTTTTTACTGCACTTCTGGGATTATGCTTAAATTTTCATATGGAACAGGAAGGAGAGTTAATGTTACATTATGAGCCCGGCTCGGCCCGAGCTGCCGCAAATCTAAAACAGGTGATACAGTGATCTAACTGACTATGTGCTTCTGGGTCCAGGTCAGGTTGAAATGTGCCACTGATGTATTACTGAGAGAAATGCTGAAAAAAGACACATCAGATATTTCTTTTCATGAAGATGCACAGAAAAGCTCTGACTGCACAGATATATTAGCTTTTTATAAGGACATCGCCTGCCATATAAATCAGTAATTTATGTCTAAAGAGGAGACCAGAGGAGGCCAAGAGTGTAATTTCTCTCCAGCACCACCAGGAGAATACTTAATGTTCCCCCGGTGTCACTGTACCCAGCTCTGAGCAGGAAATACCACTCTTTGCTGCTGATCATGTGACTGCCAGGGATGAGATGGAATGGTAATAGCATTATCATGCTATTCAACAACCACTATCTCCCTCTGCCCTTGTGGTTAAGGGCTAAATATAGCCAAATAATCCTTCTCATCTCTTGGAAATTCAACTAACACTTCTTTTGTGACAGGGATTATTTTCTCCACTCATCTTTCTTTCCATTTTTACTCATGCTGTTAGATGACACGCTCGAGAAAAGGCTTATATATATTTTGCATTTAACTTTTAACTGCACTGTTTAAGTGGTCCTGCAGCTCATATGTTGGGTGGGTGTGTGTGCAGAGATGGATCACGTGCCTGACCCCTGAACCGTGGCCATGAGTCCTTCCTCCCCAGGGTGTGATGGACAGAATGTGCAGAAGGAGAGAGCTTGGTAAATTAGGGTGCGTTCATTGGAGGGATATTGATGAGTTCGCAAGATCAAAGAGAAAATGGTTTGGACAGGTACGGCAGGTTTTCATGGTTAATGGTTGGTCACTCGCAGACGTCCAAGGACAGAGCAGAGAGTTCATTTGTCTCTGGTGCAGGTGGTGCGTGTTTTCTGTGTCTACTTTAGGATTAAAGGACAGGTTCAAAATTTTTCATGTTAAAGCAGCACTCACAAGCCCATATGTACATTGACAGAGTTACTGGTTGCCTAAATTGTTCCTACAGTCTTGACGTTTTCTGTAAATTCAGTTCAAGTTTGCACTACATTTGGATGGCTAGTGTTTCCATCATTGACAGTATATATAGTGGACAGAGCTTGGCCAGCAGGGGGCAGCTTCATGTGCTCTAATAACACACTGTTACCATACAGTCTTATGGAGAAATGACCCGATTTCTCACTTGATTTTTTAGCTCAGTAAATGGTTTCCTAATGAGTTTATGGTCTCAAAGTTTCAAGCCTTCTTCCATACAGCTTGATGTTAATTTAGTAAATTATGATATAATTTAGGGTAAAATAGACGATAAAACAAGGTATGTATTAGGGCGTGAACTCTTAGTACGTAACATCTGCTGGCTCCGATAAACCATAATGGCGACGACCATAATGCCAAACTTGAGGCTTCATAACGGTACTCCACAAACTAATGGGTGACGTCACGATAGATTCACATGTGGTTTTCATGCCGAGCTGCAGTTGTGTGATAGAAACACCAAGAGGAAATGTTCTACAAAATAGCCTGTAACTTCTGATGCACTTTTAATGCATTTCAAACAGAATGAGCACTGTAGATTTGTCTCCCATCACTTAATGGAAAATCAGACACATATCAGCTCTGCGTTCAAACAACTCAAGGGGTCACATGGGGTTGGATTCTCTAGAAATCCAGTTTGAGTAATAAACCTGTGAGTTTGAAAGCTCATCAGAAGCCAAAACACTGCCCAGATGTTTATAATAGCGTAAGACACAACAACTGCGGAAAGTTATCACGGCTGCAATAATGTTATCTTTTGTTGCAATGATTAAGAAGTGAACATAAGGAATACAGACTTCACAAATCTGCAGTTATTTCATTCACCACAGCAGAGCCTTGTTGGATGTGACGTGACAGAAGCAGAGACTGGTTCAACTTTTTTGCAGACGACTCTGTGTTTTTATGCCCAAGACTACTGCGTTGGCATCCCACTGCGCCACCACACTGCCCGCATTTCTTTTCACAAAAAGTCTGTCTAAACACGGCCTGACCTTGAAATCATGTTAGGGAGGGGTATTTTCACAGCCAGTATGGACAGGAGGAAGAAACTCTCTTTCCATATGGATATGTAGGTATAGTTTTAAGACTTGTGAACCTTTAATATAAGCTGAGACAGGGCCCCCTTCTCCTTTACTATGCTTTACTTGGATTAATGTCCTTATGTCACTGATCATATTTCACAGCTACTTTATAAGAATATTTTTCATACTGGCCGAGTCTCTCTTCCCCATTACACCACTTCTCTTTTCCCCCCTCTATGAACTCCAGAAATGCTTATTATATTACACTATAATATAAAAAATTTAAAATTTGCATGCACACTTGTTAGAACCTTGTTAGAAGGTGATGAAATAATACAAAGCAGTGTTTGTTAGAAATGCTGCTACGCTCCATTGTTGCTCTGATGTTTGTGTATCATAGTTAAGGTGACTCGGACACACCTTGAAAATGACATGTCAGTGCAGAGGTGCATGTGAGGAGACAGCCAGGAGAAGGAAACGGGGGAGTGCTGCTGTGTGATGCATAGAACTGGCCGGGTGTTGGGACATTAACAATAGCGTATTCATTCCTCTACATCTTGCCAAACATGAGGTCCAAGCAAGGCCTGCCCGTGAAATTTCCAATACCACAGCAATTGGACAGGACTGATCAGGAATGAATGCTATTTCTCAGAAACTGAACACACTGAAGGAAACTAGTGTAAACAATAAATTAAGCCCAGGACTACAACAAAGACCAAGGTTAAACTCAAAAAAGCAAACCTCAGAAATACTTTACCTCAAACTGAAAGAATATTTAGCATTGAGTTACATGGAAGGCAGTTGTTATCTAACCTCCTAGTTGGACTTAATAAAATATTTCCAGTTAAGGTCTGGGTGAATTTATTCCATATTGTGAGAGATTATTAGAGAAAGAGGTAAGTATGGTATTGAATTTTGGTGAGAGGCTAGTAGGGGCCATAATGTGGTTTGGCTTAAATATGATACGCTCATGCCAACCATAGTACATGTGCAGTTATATTAATAAAATGATGTCTTATATCCCTAAAAGCAATGAGGCCGGTCTGTCCTTCTGTCCAGACTGAAACGTCTAAATTATAAGATGAAATACTAT